GACGAAATGTTTAGTTTAGTACAAAAGCTTTATGATTTACCAATAAATGGAAGATTAATTGAAGAACAAGTTAGACGAATGAAAGAAGGTCGTGCACAAGCAGCTAGAAGTGACGAACAATTTGTTGATTTACCATCAGATTATAATTCTCCAGATATTCTTAATAAATTAAAAGAAATCGTTAATCGTAAAAAAAGATAAAAGCTTTGTTTTTTCATCTGATATCTATTAACAATAACTTGTTTTTTTTTTTCTATAGACCTATTTCTTATGAAGAATTTAATAATAAAATGAAAGAATAAAAATAAATAAGCCATGTTATTTTCCTTTTTACATTTTTTTCAAACTATAAAGATAACTCTTTTTTTATTTCACTTCTTCTCTTTTTTTATTGTGTTTCCGGTCAACTACTTTAGCAAGACACCTATTAAAAGGGTCATGATTTTAACAAAATACAAAAAACACAAATTTTAACTCGTTAAAATTTTATTTGTGAGAAGAAAAGCTAAATCGATGACATTAACTATTTTCAAATTTGTTTTGTTTTCGAAAAAAATTGTTTGTTTTTTAACAAATTAAAATATACATACGTTTTCAATGCATTAATATGTCAACCTTTTCGTTACTTGTCTGACTGAGCTTTTAGAAAAAAGATAGTTCCTATGATGATCATGATGAAAAAGTAATATGTTTCTTTTTCTTACTCGAGAAACACCAAAAGAATTTTTTCCTACCTAGATTTCTTTTTATAACTCATAAGAATGATTTAATATTTGTTTCAGTAGTTTCCTATAGTATTTGCGAGTATTGGTTAGTCTTTACATTGATAATAAATTAAAGTATTTTTCAGATCAGTTGAAAACATGTCTCAAGTAAGACAAAGAAATACTACATCGATAGGAGATATAAATTTACATTATTATTGGGTCGAACAGGTGTTGGAGAAACGACTTCTATTAATGAATTTGCTAATTATCTTGTTTATTATTCACTTGATGAAGCTATTAATGGAAAATTACAAGAAGTTATTCCAGCATGGATTACATTTTCCGATAAAGATACATTTGTAGAAAAACCAATAACAATTGGTATACCAAATGCAAGTGAAAAGAAAGGTGGTGTAGATCAATCATGTACAAGAGAATGTCACAGTTTTATATTTCGAATTAATAATAGAAACTTATATTTAATTGATGCATCAGATGTTGGTAACATCGAGAGTATTTTACAAAATGAAAAAAATTTTGAAGATATTCTTGCTTATATAAGTTAATTTGATTATTTAAAATGAAATATGTATTTTATTAAAGTCACGTGAAGAAAGATTAAATATTTGATTTCGTTTTTGTATGAAAGAGTTACTTAGACATTTACATGTTAATGCTAAAGAAAATATTATGTTCACATTTACAAATGCTCGAGCAACTTTTTTTCGACTTTATCTACCAGCTCCTCTTCTTCGAGAACTTCTTCAAAATCTTAGAGAGCACTCAAATACTGAAGTACCATTTTCAAAAGAAAACTCATTTTTCTTCGATAATGAAGCATTTCAATTTTTAACATTATGTAAAAACGACATGGAATTTAATTTTGAAGAAGAAGAAGATTGTAGTAGAAGTTGGGATCATAGTATTCGTGAATTCAGTCGTCTTATATCTAGTATAATTCAACGTGATAAACATGCTACATGTGATCTGAACAACATAAAAAAAATGTCATGTCAAATAGGACTCTGACACCACAGGTTTTATCACAAAAGATGCAGACATCGTACCATTTGAATATCCAAGAACATTATGCGGAAATGAAAAATGTACCAAAGCGATTACAATCAATGGTATAGAAAAAGTTGATTATACAAATCATTGTCATCCACATCGTTTTCTTATTGGAGTTGAACAGGAAATTATTGATCATGAAAAATTAAAAAATTGTACTGCTATCAATAAATCTTTAGATAAGTTCAATTGACTACTTTTACAAATAGTTTCATACTCGAAAATTATAAAAGTGACACTTCGGTTCTCATTTTGAATATCATTATGCTGTATATTTTATTCTTCGGTCAACTTTTACTAAAATGAAGAAAACTACTAAAGAGTTTCATCCAGGGGCGGCGCGACCGGGGGGGGGGGGGATAGGGGGGTCACCCCCCTCCTGCTCCAGAAAATTTGGGCTGGTACTTTCTC